CATTCATTTCTACTTTTTCCATACCTTCCATACTTTTTTCATCTTCTACTTTTTAGGCTACTTTTAGTTTTTTTTACTCTTAAAAAGGAAAGGTGAATACATGTACAATAAGATAAGGGGGGGAAGACACAAAACAATGTTTACAAGCAATCTATAGAAGCTTTTTGGATTCAAAGAATGCACTGACCAACTTATGAAAAAATCATTTAACATTAGACTGCATTCTACCACATATTCCTTAAATCCTTGTTCCCATTTGACATCTGTCCATGCTATAAGGAAACATATCCAGTCATTACAACTGAATGACAGATTATGTACGGTTATCCAAATGAGGAATAAGAAAAGTGATTAATGATGTTGCATTAACTATTTCTACTCACATCCTAAACTTGTATTCTTAGTTGATCAGAATGAGATATTGTATTGCAAATCCAGGTAAGAAAATCATACACAGGCATGGGATTCTACTGGTTTGGATTGTTTCGAGCAAACCGGTAGATCCGGCTATCAGCTGGGAGTGAACCGGTTCTCTCTGACTTTGAAGTTGGCCCGCCTGCCTGCCCCCGCACTATACTCGCCTATATTTCCTTTTCTGAAATCCAGCTGATTGGCGCAGCAGAGTGGATTGCTGCACCTCAGCTGTTTTCCTCACCAGCAGTAATGCTGAAGGTGAGTTTTCGGTAAACTGTGCATGCATATGTTGCACACGCTTGTGCTGTGTGCACAAAGTGCACGCTCAGCGAACTGGTTGTTAAACCAGTAGGATCCCACCCCAATCATACCTTGAAGTTTTCCTACACCTCAACCTGTCATTAACACAATATCACACTAGCTGATAATCAATAGATAGTTGGGAAGATTTTCTAAAGCTAACCATATGGCCCTGATAGAGAATCAGAAACCATTTTGTTTCTGAATGTAAATATTAGTAAAATCAGTAATTCCTGTGTGGTTTTATTAGTGGAAAAATTATCAGATATAGTTGAATTTAACTTCGGTGGCATACCTGGTTAAACCTCCTTGGCCACAGAATCGATTTCTCAGAAGAAGAGAATATTTCTCTTTTGGATATAATGGGATTTATCCCGCCAACTCTGACTCACAGGAAAGACCGGTTTGGGAAAGTAATCCAATTTACAATGTCAAATCCAACCTCTAACTCACCATTCTGATTGAAGGAAATCATATCTCCTGCAT